GTATAAAACTTCAACTGCGTGAAACACACAGTAGTATGAAACTTCAACTGCGTGAAATACACAGCAGTATGAAAATTCGGCTGCGTGAAACACACAAACTTCACGCATGCGTGGAGTGTATGGAGTGTACGGGAGTGATTCACGCAATGGTGCGAATAGTCACGGCCTTTTAATTTTATGGAAGAGGTTTTATTGTAACGTATGTTTGAGACGTTGATAATTGAATGAGTTCAGCTTCGTCGTGGTGATGTATAATGCAAGATTTTCATTCGAATATTATACGTAACTACCCGAGAAAAGTTCCTCAATGAGAAACACTCAAAATATTTATGCCGATAATGATTATTGACTCTCGTGCACAGATTGTTATGTTAAATTTGTCCTCCAAACCGGGATAAAACTCTGACGTTGGTTATTGCATTTGAAGGTTTTGTGTGTACAGGTGAAGGTGGTTAAATTCAGCTACATGTGGACGATAAATAACTTCAGCTTCTGCCGGGAAGAAATGGGAGAAGTACTCAAGTCGTCGACATTCTCAGCGGGGGCCAACGATAAACTCAAATGGCAAGTTCCACTTATTCAAATTATTCATAATAATAAGAATGAGAGAATCAACAAATATCAATCATCACTGATAAAAGAAAGAATGGGCATGATTGACGATCGTGCTTGAGTATTATTCAATTTTCATGACCGTTAGTGAAAATTTATTGAATTACAAAATATGTGGTGGTATTGTTCGTGACCGTTGAATAGCATTATTAGTTGCGATGAGGGCAGTAAATTGGGTCGTACATGCAATTGACGGATTTCTACGTTATTCTGACATTTTCAATCGGCAATTTACCGAGTTGGAGCTGCAATTGATTGTCACTGGTTTTCTACCAGTTGACGATTGAAATACAAAACGTAATGTATTGAATGTAATGGGAGGCCGATTGGTTTCCATCCACTGGAATAATCGATAAATTTAATCGTCTAATTTTCTTTTGTTTTCTCATTACTCTGGCCACAGGTGTTTGAGAGTGAATCCAAAAGGCCTGGATGAAGAGAGCAAGGACTATTTATCATTATATCTGCTACTTGTGTCATGCAATAAATCGGAAGTCAGAGCAAAGTTCAAATTTTCAATTCTTAATGCCAAAAGAGAAGAAACCAAAGCTATGGGTGAGTGAATTAAATTTGAATATCAATTTTTTTTTCATTCAAATAATACGTCATCTTGAATCACATTTCACATTCAATTCAATGATTCAAGGACAATATTTAAGTGGAACAATTCTTCATTTCCATTTTTAGAGAGCCAACGGGCCTACAGGTTTGTCCAGGGTAAGGACTGGGGCTTCAAAAAATTTATAAGAAGAGACTTCCTGCTCGACGAGGCCAATGGATTACTCCCAGACGACAAACTCACGATATTCTGTGAGGTATATACCTTTGTATGTTACTTGTTGCTATACTAACTTCATGCAGGCGATAATGGCTGTACTAATGTTGCTTGTTAATATTTCTGATAATTCAGGTCAGTGTTGTGGCGGATAGTGTGAATCTCTCTGGACAGAGTAATACGATACAGTTCAAAGTGCCTGAGTGTAGGCTACCTGAGGATCTTGGTTCGCTATTTGAGAGTCAAAAGTTCAGTGATGTCACGCTGACTGTTTGTGGGAGGGAGTTCCAAGCGCACAAATCGATTCTTGCAGGTGAATATCATATTCCCAGTAGAGGAGGATCAAGCAAAATCGATTCATCATGTTTTTTTTTTATTCTTTGAAGTGTCAGGGATTAATTTGGATGATTCTTTCAATGCTTTCAGCGCGTAGTCCTGTATTTTCTGCAATGTTCGAGCATGAAATGGAGGAACGCAAGCAGAATCGAGTGGACATAACAGACGTGGATCACGAGGTACTGCGGGAAATGCTTCGATTTATCTACACGGGTAAATCGGACAATCTGGGGAAGATGGCTGACGATCTGTTGGCTGCTGCTGACAAATACGCACTCGAGAGGCTCAAAGTTATGTGCGAGGAGGCGTTATGTACGAGTTTAGCCATTGAGAATGCAGCTGACATTCTTATACTTGCCGATCTTCACAGTGCCGATCAACTCAAGGCACAGGCCATAGATTTTATCAATACGTAAGTTCAAATGAAACATGTACTAAAAAAAATGCTTCAAATCTACTTTAATCCAGTTTAATTTTCATAAACTATCATCATCAACTGATAAAATTCATAATTCATGATTTCCAGGCACGCAACGGACGTGATGGACACGACTGGTTTCAAATCAATGGTGAACTCTCATCCCCACCTAATTGCGGAAGCATTTCGTGCACTAGCGACACAACAAATGCCACCAATTGGACCACCGCGAAAGCGAGTTAAGCAGAGCTGAAAGCAGTCACCTCTAATTCCGGGCACGACAACAGTGTCGTCACCGCCCCACCTACATCCCTCATGAACTCTCTTTTTTCTGTACAGTGACGAATCCTGAGAGTAGTGTTAAATCAATGTTTCCTAGTGCGCCCTTTCGTTGTCCGAAAGTTTAACAAGCCCAACTAAAAACAAAAAAAAAATCATAAAAAAATAAATAAATGAAGAAATTATAAAAACGAAATAAAGTAACAAAATGATGGAGATGCTGAGATAGGCGCACCCACGCCAGCAGACTCTTGTGTTCAGTGAGTGTCGGTAGTGTGTCAAAAAAGTTGAAAAAAATAAATAAAAACAGAGTAAATAACAAAGACTCCGTGCAACGAAATGCCACGAGACATAGAAGCCCCAGATATACAGCAGAAAGAATGAACCCACCACATTCGCCCACCTCTGAGAGATACAACGCCCGTCCCTCCCATTGAAGAAAAATAAAATGATACAGAACAACTATCGTCGTCTCCGCCTTTTGCTCCTAATTCTTCGGATGTGTTTCATTCCACTTCAACAAACGTCACAGCAAAAATAAGAAAAAAACAAATATAAACTGCGCCAAAAAATAGACAAGAAATTGCCAAGATGGAAGATAAAGGACAAGTTAAAACATTGGATAAGAAAATAGTGGGGAGAAAAAACAGAAAATGAAATGGAAAAAAAATCATTTGGATTATGACGTGACTTGTGGACAAATCGTAGCACATCTGGGGGCTTTTTAAAGGCTTGAAGGCTGGACCAAGATGATAAACTGAACTTCGCCATGTTGCCACGTACCGACACACAAGAAGTTGTGATAAAGGCGTCGGGCCCTCGACGATATAACACTTTGGTTCCTCTGTCACGGATCAAATTGTTTCTGGCCCCCTCTGCCACACGTGATGGAAGAAGATTAATTTTAGAAATTATTAATGAAAAAAAAAGTCATCATGATTGATTGATTGTTTGATTTTTGGGTGGTTGTTTCGAGGGGGACACACTTTGTTTATTAATTAATAGTGATTTTTAATTATAAAAATGATGTATGAGAACGTCAAAACTCTTCCAGAAAGAAAGGGGAAATGATTCTAGTTAGTGTTTTTTATGATCTCTTTCTCTTAATACGATATGACTATTACTATGATTATTCTTAAAATACTACGCAATCTGTGCCCATCCACCCCAGACCCACTTTGCCCTGCACTTTTGTCTATTTCTTTTTGTCTACAGTCCCTTCAAATCGTGTCAGGTTCAATTTTTTTTTTTTTTTGTGGCACAGTTTGTCTTGTTTCCCCATTATAATTTTTTCCTCTCTGTTCATTTTTTTTTGCAACTATTGCGTAGTCAATTGAAGTGATTGATTTGATTTATTATTCATTGATTTGATTGGATTTCAAATCGAGAAAATTTATGGTTGTCCATAATGTGTGAAAATATTTTTCTCGTCAATTATATTATTTTTGAAGAGAACAGTCTTATCGTATTTGGCAAAACTGACGTTTCGATTTTTTAACGGCTGATGAAGAATCTGAAAAATGATAATTTAGTGACACAGTGAGGAGACTAAACTAAAACTAAAATTGACAACAGAATGGAGAAACAAAAAAAAACCATTGAAAATTTAAATAAATTGTATAAATAAACGTTAGTCAATTATAGTCCAAACTATTAATCGTTTTTGTGTAATTAAATCTCGAGTCACAGGAAACAAAACGAAAAAAGGGGATAAACCAAATCAGTCGTGTGTGGTGAATGAACTGAATTATGGGCAACCAAGAGAGGCAAAAAAACCTTTGAAAAAATCACAAAAAACAATAATTGTCGTTTTAGTACTAATACTGGCTTCCCGATCCTCCGAAACCTAGTTTTATCATCAATTTAATTAAACGGAAAAAAAAAGAAAAAACACCCCTATACCATAACATTAATGAATGACGAAGATTAATGCCATACATGTTCTGTGATAAGTCCGATTGTAATTATTGCAACTGTAATTCCCACTTTCCTACCCAGACAAAAAGTTATAATGCAATTCAACTCCCCAAATGTGTCGATCCTGCAGCCAGTGACGTTTAATTGATGACATTAAATCTTGTTCGGCCGGTCCCAAAGCCCCCGTCCCCCCAATCCCTCCTGTCTTCGGGAAGAATGAAGCAAATACACGTTTTAAGCACACTTGAAGTTAAGCTTATTGTACATATCTACTATCTATTTTATAATGGACAAGACAGTACTACTATTATGAGCTGTAGAATAGGAATTATTGACACTGATTTTTTTTCTTTCGTTTATGTTATTTGCGTTTTTCTCTTTTTCTCATTTTGTTTTTGTAGACTGCGATAATGTCCCAAATTATTCGGAGACATTCTCTGGGGAAATTCAGTAGTGGAGGGGTGAAACGTAACTGAATAGAACAGACAAGATGTAGTGAAAATGGAAATATCGAGGAGGAAATTTTCTCTGACATTTTCCTCAAAATACCTAAACACTGAGTAAAAATGTTAAATTGAAGTTTCACCATTTCACAACAGAATTCCCCATTCTTTTCGTTAATTCTCGCACTGTATGTAAAATTGTCACTTTGGGACTGACGGACAATGGTCAAAAAGTTGAAGAAAAAAAATTATTGTAAACAAAAAAATTTGTAATAATCCAATATTGTTTATCTCTTTCGTTTTCCTGAGAAAAATGGGCTAATTAATAGAATGAACAGAATTGTGTGAAATTATAATTCAAGATGAAAAAAAAAAAAACAATGGAGAATTGAAAACTGCAGCAAGAATATATGAGCGTATGACTGGATAATTTGATAAAATATAAGTACAAGTAAGACAAGTGTTACCTCATCATAAAAATCAGCGTTTTAGCAAGAGAGTCGTTGCCACTGGTTATCATATTTTATTTCGTTACACCTTCCAGTTTATGCATTTATGTGGATATGAAAATTGTTCAATTTTTTTTATCGGGTATTTGTTCATTATTTTTTTGTAACGTGAGAATTATTATCAGTGGCAATTGCTAATGATTTTGCATCTCAGCTGTTCATTGAATCCCAGCTCATACAAACGTTCATTTTTTCCATTTATTTTAAGTCATTGCACCACATCAAATAAAATTACATTTTCATTATATAAATCTTGGGAGGACAGATGTAATTTACTCACTCAACCCACCTCTTTATTTTAATTACTCTATTATTTATTATTTTTCAATTGCAGCTGAAGAACAATAAGAGACAATGCTGATTAAACTGCATTAAGATGTAAAGATATCTGCGATAAATGTACTAAAAACAATTTATGAGAAAGAAATTTCATCGACCTTAGGGATCATCATGGTAAGTTGTGACCAAAAAAACCTCGAATACCAAATGATTAAATAACGGGTAATTAATTGAATAAATCAAACGTGTCTGATGTGTACCTCGTAATTATTAATAAATATTCACATCTGGAACTTATTTTATTTCCCCGAAATGTTGGCTCTACTTTGACAGTTGTATACAAAGTGGAGAGTTCATTTATTTATTTGAATTAGCGAAGAATTTTTATCAATTCGTTAGTGTTATGAGGGCCTGGACGACATCCCCCCTGTGTTCCCTGAGAGTTCTTTCTGCTAGATTCCTATTTATTTCCATCTCTCCCATCTGCAAATTGAAATTTAAATAATCAAATAATTTGTGAATGAATATTTCATTGCAAGTCAAGTTTTAATTTATTTGAAACTTACAATGAGATCAACGTCTTCTTTTTTAATAGAAACTTTTAATAATTCTTTCTCTTTAGCTTTTTTCTCTGCCGCTTCTTTATTCCGACGATCTCCAATTATACTGAGAGCCTGGAAAATGAGTAAAAAAATTTATTTATTTCAAATACAAGAGCGTGGAGTTGTATGTAACATTGAGGTTATGTTCATCTCATAAAATTAATCTTTATAAATAATTAACGTCATTTGTGAGGTACATTTTCCATCTTCACATCCAGAAAATGTTTGAAAATATTTCTCAAAAACAATAGTATTAAAATACGAGAAAAATAGATGAACACGTGGGTAAAACGAGTTGATGTCACTCACATTGGAGAATCCGTCAGACGATGATATCTCCTTTTCTTCGGCATAATCCGTCACCCTCTCGAGATCAGCAGCTCCACTGTCATACTTGGCAGCCTTTTTCTGTGACTTCTCTTGCTGTACTTCATCACAATCCCCATTGATATCCTCGTCTCCCATTCCTCCAAATAATCACGCACCTTGAACAAATCTGTTTTCATACACTGATCATCTTGGAGGATGCACCAATTATGCGCGTGCGTGTTACCTCGTGAATCTTCGTAAGTTTTCGTTAAAATGCTCGCGGATGCTTCTTCCCCTCGTGACCATCGTGCTAACTTGTTTACTTCAGTAGTTAATAGAGATATTCGTTAGTCATGATCCAACAGTTGATCAAACAGAAAAAATCCTTTCTGTCTATGCGTTGTAAAATAGTCGTCAGTGAGTCGACATGCTAGTTTTGGAGTCTGCAGTGTTTTTCAAGGCCCTCTTCCCTCCCCTCCTCATACTTGACGGGAATTTCTTCTCGAACCTCGAAGAAGCATTTCCCTGCGTTGGCGTTTAATAAATTGTGCATACATAACACCGATGTGAGACAGAGCCAGTGTTGTAAGTTGTAACGGACTAGAGAAACAGGGGAAATGTCCGGTGAATATTTCGTGGAACGAGCGACGCTCGAGTACTCAACAATGTAAACGACTCTAAACTATTTTTATTTTATTGGAAAACCAGGGGAATTCACTTGTGCTTTATTTTAGATTGTACAAAAGCACCAACAAACGAAGATAAATAACGAGGATCAATCCCACATATTCTGAGGTCCCATGACATGTTCATTGTTCATCGAGAGTTTACAATAGAGGAACCACCGTTTTTATGACACTTCTCTTTACGTAAGTTTAACAATGCTAATCCGTAATGAAAATTTATCAATCTTTAAATTTCTCAATCAATTTTTTGTTGTTCTCACGCTGCTGGACTCAATTCGCAATAATCCAGACATATCGTCGTAATTATGCATAAATCCAACAGTGATAACGCCATGAGAAATCTCTATCTTATCTTCTCTTTAGGTGATTTGACTTTGAATCAGTGTTATAAACAATTTCATACCATTTCCTACTGGAGGGCACCGATACTGGCAAGTTTGACAGCAAGATGCCATCTACGTGTGGAGATATCCAGGAAGTGGCTGGTGATTACATTTTTTGAAATTATCGTCATGAGTTTATTAACCTTTGCCTTGTACATCAAATTTTTTATGTATTTTCTGATAAACTAATTGTTTCTAATGGGAAAAAATTGGTACTGAAGCACCCAAAAATATATTGAATCCAATGGCCAAAGAAAAACCTGAATAATCAATTAGGGTTGGTGAAGCAGATACCTGTCTGATTTGAAAAATGAATAAAACTGTTTTAAGTATGCTTACATTGTAACGATTCTTAATTCTATTTAATGCCAATTTATCCAGCATTTTGTATCAATTTCCAAACTGACAACTCTATTTTAGCACTTGGAGTGCACACCAACGTCATCGATGCAGTCTCAACAACAGACAGTGTGGGCACCCACAGCGATGTCTCCTGTAACACAACAATCTCGGGTCGTCCCCGCATCCAAGTGGTTTGCATACTGGATCTCCAACAGCCTGAGCAGCTAGCGCCACGAAAACGCGCGCTAGACGAGATAAAGCAAGCCTGCACCCTAGTGAACGCCAATCTCAATCATGTTCAGTTCGAGAAGCTAGACTTTGGGGAGACCAACGTCCTGGACACGTTTTACAACGCAGATGTGGCCGTTGTGGACCTCTCCCTCCAGCTCCAGCAGTCGGCTTTGTTCTATCACCTGGGGGTTCGCGAGTCCTTCGGGATGAAGGAGAATATTCTTCTTTACAATGATGTGGACAGCGAGGCGACAATCAGGCTAAAGTTGTCCTGTGGGAGCTACACATTTGTGTCTTACCGGGTCTTAGACTGTGGCACGTGTGTCACGACAACACTGGCAGCTACAAGAGGAGAAGAGGCAATCGATCCTAAACAACATCTCACGTTGAGACTGAAGAAGCTCCTGCAGGACGTGGAGTTGCAGTCCAAGGCTCATATGAAGGAGAAATTCTTGGTGGATTTGAGGAAGGCTCGCGAGATGTATTCAGGAGACGAGCTAGCAAAAATCCTCAACAACATGAGAAAACGTCTGGACGATCCTAACGTCCTCTCCGGAGAAGTGATCCTCAACATGTTGTTGTCATTTAGAGAGATTCAGGGATACGATGCCATGGTGCAGCTCGTCGACGACCTTCGAACGATTCCCAACCACAAGAACTACATCAACACCCCCATGATAATCTACCTCTACGGATTTGCTTTGAGCAGAAGAAATAAAGAGGGTGATCGAGAGAAGGCAGTCAGAGTAATTGAGAAGGCCCTTGCTAAGAAGGAGAACCATGTCCCTGACATGCTCTGCCTCTGCGGGAGAATATACAAGGATCAGTTCGTGGAGAGTCGACACACCGATCAAGAGAGCCTGAAAAACGCCATCCACTGGTATAGAAAGGGCTTCGATGTCCAGCCGAACGAATACGCTGGTGTGAACCTGGCGACTCTCCTGGTGATTGCTGGTAACGAATTCTCAAAGAGTGAGGAGCTCCAGCACATTGGAATGGTTTTGAACAATCTGATAGGGAAGAAGGGAAGCCTCTCCAGTCTGAAGGAGTACTGGGACGTCGCCACATTCTTCGAAATCTCTGTTCTCGCTGAGGATTACTCCAAGGCCCTTCAGGCAGCCGAGTGCATGTTCAAGCTGAAACCCCCAAACTGGTACCTAAAATCCACAATTGGCAATATTTCCCTCATCGACAGATTCCGGAAGAAGAGCGAGGAGGCGGAGGTCTCCCCTGAGGAACAGATATTCAGTTTTTGGATGGATTACTTTGTTGAAGCAACTAAATCCGAAGTCGGAGACAGTATCCGATTTCCTCTGCTGATTCTCGAGCCGACGAAGATCTTAATGCCAAGTTACGTCAATGTCAATCTTGGGGCTGAGGAGAAATCCATTCAGATCTGGAATCTCTGTTTGGATAGCATCAAGAACAACTGCAAACAGGTTCACGACTGGCTGTTCACTGCTGACATGATTCGAAGTGTCAGTTTATACAAGAGGGATGAACGATGTTTATTCCTCTACGTCCACCAGAATTCCGATGACTTCCAAATGTTTTTCCCCTCGATCCAATGCAGACAGAGATTCTACGATCTTGTCCTGGAGATGACAGCTGACGAAGAAGGCATGGTGACGGATCTTGACGCCTACATGACTGACGACCAGATAAAGTACGAGTACGAGCTCGATGATCAGAGCAAGAGGATCATCTTGGGAAAGGGGACCTATGGAGTTGTTTTTGCTGCGAGGGACTTGAACACTCAAGTGAGGATTGCTGTAAAGGAGATCAGGGAGCGGAATCTGGGGGACGTGCAGCCTCTGCACGAAGAGATCAAGTTGCACAGTCAACTGAGGCATCGAAATATCGTGCAGTATTTGGGATCTGTAAGTGAGGATGGCTTCTTCAAAATTTTCATGGAGCAAGTGCCTGGGGGCAGTCTGTCCGCATTGCTGAGGTCCAAGTGGGGCCCACTCAAAGAGAATGAATCCACTATTTCTTATTATACGAAGCAAATCCTCGAGGGATTGAAGTATCTGCATGATCAGAAAATCGTTCATCGTGATATCAAAGGTGATTATTGATAAAATGTTTGCACATAAATTTTTCGGTTTTTAGATATTTGTCGTCTCGTAATCGAGTGCTTTCGTTTTTCCCATTGCAATTCTTATCAGTGAATTAATCAACTTTAGTATCAAATTATATTTCTAGAGATTAATAAATTGTTTAGAGTTTCACAAATTAGATTCCAACGTCTTCAGATATTAAAATATATTCCAGGAATATTGTGTGCATGATTTTAGGTGACAACGTGCTTGTGAATACATACAGTGGAGTAGTCAAAATATCAGACTTCGGAATGTCCAAGAGACTGGCTGGTTTATGTCCCAGTACGGAGACTTTCACTGGTACCTTGCAGTACATGGCACCGGAGGTTATCGACAAAGGGCAACGGGGATACGGTGCACCGGTCTGTACAGCTTATCTCAAGTCATTTAAACCCTCCGATAAGGGGATTAATTATTTTATTATTATCACGATCCTAATGGGTTTTGCAGGCGGATATTTGGTCGCTGGGTTGCACAATCGTGGAAATGGCAACGGGTAAACCACCGTTCATTGAACTGGGCTCACCACAGGCAGCGGTATTCAAAGTAAATGACGTTTATTAATGAGAAAAGATTGTTCAATCGATGTAATTATGATAATTCGAGGTTTTTAATGGGTAAAAATGTTTCGAAAGGTCGGATATTACAAAATTCACCCAGAAATTCCCTCGGAATTATCAGAACGTGCGAAGAGCTTCATATTACGGTGTTTTGAACCGGATCCAGACGTGAGAGCAGCGGCTTCGGTTCTCTTGGAGGATCCATTTTTAACTGAGTAAGCACTCAATAATTGAGCATAATTTACATCATCTTGTCAAAGTTTTATTTTTTTTTTAATTCGAATTGTATATTTACACTGATTTTTCACTTTATCTTTTATTTATTTATTTATTTATTTATTTATTCATTACTGATAACAATAAGATAAGCATATGAATCAGGACACGGGCTATAAAATCAGATAAAAATATCAGCGGGGAAGGTCAAATTATGTTGACGAAACTCTCCTGACATGTTACTTTCCTTTTTAAGCTAATTGAACAATTAATAAAGATTTCATATCCAATCAATTACATCTCACCACTGCAATTGGAAATGAAACAGTATAAAACGACAACTATAAACGTTCTAGGAAGAAAAAGAGCTCTCGACTGGCAGCACCACCAGACTTCAGTCGCAGTATTTCAGTGCCAGGCGATCGAATTGAGCGGCTGGGAAAATGTGACAAAACGAATAATAATCACATTGTCTCAGCACCTGGAATACAGACATCACAGTCCGACGACAGGTAATTCAATTCCCCACATTATTATGTTCTGTACTGCACTGGCAATTCGTTTTTTGTTGCATTAATTACTTTGATCAATATGACTCCCTCTTCTTCTTATCTCAATGCCAAATTATATTGAACTTGATGCACTTGCTTGTACCGATGCATGCTAAAAATCATCACAATTATTATTTCGTTATGGTCACGGTGGAAGAGTAATGTAATGAAATGAATAAAAAACGAAATAGAGCAATTAAAAACACTAAAGGTGTGGTGTATAGCGGAGCGTTGACGAAATCAAGTCCATTGAGAGACCGTAGTCCGGCCCATCTGCTGTCACCAATCAGTATGCCAACTGCCTGCTTGTCTTTCAACAGGTACAGTACTAATTTTATTACTGTTGAGGCTCGACACTACTGCTAGTTATGCGCAGACAATTGCAAATTGTCTTTCATTTTTTTTTAATGACAGTTTAAAAGCACTTGTGATAGTTCTGCATTTAATCATGCTGCAGCATCGTGGCTTCATTAGAACTTATTTAAATAATAATCATCATATTCTTCTAATTATGCAATTGCAACTAATTCCATTAAAAAGTTATTTTAGAAAAAACATTTCATGAAACAGTTGGAAAAAAAGTCTTGATTTTTTTTTTTTATAGAAACACATTAATATAGAGTTATTTATATGTTATAATTACATAATTTGATTAATTATATTTAATTTGGACTAAAAATATTAAAAAATGACATTTTAAACATTAAAAAGATGAAATTTTTCATTTTTCATTGACAATTCAATAGTGTTGTACAATTAAAAAAAATCTAATGAATGTTTTTTTTAATAGTACAATTGGAAGTACTCCATCAATAGATATAAGTGAAACGGACACAGCAGGGTGTTCAATGACGCGAAGAAGTTCCTCAGGAGGATTGCTCTCCCCCGAGGTGGAATTAACTGGTCAGCCAGGTCAGAAATCAGGAGAGGAGCAAGAAGGCTTTTATCTCTTAAAAAAAGACAGTCAACGACGCATGACATTGACAAGAGTTCTCAGCCAAGACGAGGCAACAATATGCGAGGTCTGGCTGCGAAATATCCATCAGGATGTCGGACAAACTGTTCTACAAATGCCACATTTGGAGTTGCTCATGCGTGGAATACGAGATTACATATCGGATCAGAATCAGGAAGCCATTGCAGGGGCGTTCAGGACCCTCAAGGAGGAGTTGGACTTTGACTCTACCACCATAAATCATTTTCATCTTGCTATTTATCTATTTCAAACAGCAGTTAACGAGGTACTGAGAATGCACAGCATTAAACCACATTGGATGTTTGCGTTGGATAATCTAGTCAGAAATGCTGTGCAAGCTGCTATCACTGTATTATCTCCAGGTAAATTCAATAGGTTACAGGTTTTTAAGCGGGATAGAATGAGAAATGGCCAAGTGAGTGAAAAGTTTTGCCAATATCTCTGATACTTTCAGATCTATTGGATTAATTGAACAATAATTTTGGTGTTATAGAACTTGGTGCAGGTTTAATTGAACAAGAACGTGTTCAAGCAGGCCCAGATGGACCCGAGGAAGGCTCCACATCTGGAGTATCCACTGTAAACTCAATAAAGTCCCAGAAAATAGGGGATTCCATCGATGCTAAATACTGGAGAGAGTATCGAGACCAAATGGGCTCTCTCAAGATTGAAAATATGAGGCTATTGCAGGAGTTGTTGGACAGTCAGAAGACCTTCCACTCGATCCTTCAACAAGCGTTGGAGGAACAGAGGGTGCAGGTGGGAACTCTGACCCAATTGTGTGAGGATATCAGCAGGAAATTCGTCAGGCAAGAGTCTGGGTAAGGATTATTCAACATAATCTTTTGAAAATTCTATAAAAAAAATAAAAAAAACATTTGAGGAAACCCAATATTTAAAAATATATTTTCAGCTATAACTCAAGCTTATGTGGCACAGCGACGTCACCGCAGCCACCTTTGGTACCTCAAATAAGCATAACAGACCACAACAACCCATCAAACACAGACCACAGACTTGTGGAGTGGCTCCAAGGTCTTGGTGTAGACGATGCCTCGATTGACAGGGTAATTATTTCCCGTGAACAATGAGACACCAATTGAATTTAATTTTCTCAAAATACACCATCATATATTCCAGTTTATTTATGAGGAGTACACACTTGAGGATGTATTGTTCCACATGTCACGAGATGATCTGAGGAAATTAAACCTGAGGGGAGGTGTAGAGCTGAGGATATGGATGGCGATAACTTCACACAGACAAGATAATAATTTTTCATAAATTTTGCTAATCAGAGTTCATCGAAATTTCATCGTTAAAAATAATCATGTTTTTATACAGTATATGTATTACCCGTTTTTTTCTTTAAGTAAGTTTTTTATTTTTATTCCAATTCAGGAACGTAAAGATTTATATATTGTGTCAAATCAGAAACTAATCGATTAATTAATCTTTCGTTATAAAAAAAAATCCATTAATGAAAAAGCTGAATCAAGATTTGATGATGAAATCTCTGTTCGTTACACTATCATTCACTGTAGAAGAAAATTAATGAATTCTCTTTGAAAAAAATGACCTTGACATTCTGTATCAAGATGATTTAATAATCACCTAAACAGAATGATGCAATTCAATTGATTAAACTTGGCCAATAAATACGTATCTTTACGTTCACTAATCACATTGAAACCAAGATATTAAAGTCGAGATATTACCATTTGATGTGATAAATCTAGCACGCCCAATGTTCAAGTGCCTTTGAACTGATTATTTTTTCAGCAAACTCGAGATTTATCGATTGTTATATTTAAACTGTCTTCCTACGAATGTACAAATTTATCGAGAGAAATATTTACCATAAAGTTGATTATTTACAAAGTAAACATTGGCCTGATTTTATTTGCGGGCTCCAGTTGTGTCTGAATAACCAGGATCGTGTGTGGGCCATTATGAAAGCCTGGTAATGGACCCTGAGGGTCCTTCAGTCCCGCGTCTCGTGGGAAAATGGCTTATTGCATTTAAATCTTCATTTCCTCCGCCTCTTCTCACTTGTATTCACTTCGTATGAGAGAAATCTCTCTGGGAGAGTATCGCATTACTTGTGAGGGGCATTTGAATTTTTTAGTCTCGTCTATTGCAATACATTTATATTTTTGTGCAGGAAAAATTATCTACAAAATTCTTTTTACCTGAGGGAAGAGGTACAGAAAAACAACTCAAAAAATTTTGTTGTAGTAGAAAGTTTTGTGGCTGCAAAAAGCTTTACGAAAGGACGAATTGTAAACACTGTGAATTAATCTTTAAATTCCCACCTCTATTAATATCGTACGAGGAAGAAACGTTTATATTCTTTGAAATACTCGACCAGACTAAATACAGCTCTCAAAAATTTCACTTCTTTCGCTCCATGATATCATTACTAGTGTTCACATTAACTCTTCTTCACTTTTCACGTCGATTCCCTTTTGTGCTTATAATCGCATTAAATCGATCCCCTGAAATGAAGCTATACAATACAGCAGAGAGAAAAAAATACCTTCCGTACGAAGAAGTTTATTGCAAAATGTAAAAGCGTATTTTTCATAGCCCATCAACTCCTCTATAAAAATGTGGTCATTGACAGAATGATGACAACCAAACGTATCCTTGCTCTATCACCTCGCCAACTTTCGCGTCATTTTACGTCACAGAAAATCTCCGAGTAGTAATGCATTTGCATATTTTATACCAAAATCCGAGTGCACAGAAGCCGGAACAAAAGAGTCAGGATAAAGTGAACTGACTCACTCCCTCAACTTCCTCATCCTCACATTTCCCATATTCCCCACCAGACTGATGACGCGGATACCCCAGCTATACCGAAGAATCCCCCGCTACCATAAAAACTGTCTGAATGAATAAAAAATGGGAGTCTCTAGGGAGGGAGGTGGGGGGAGAAAAAAACGAAAACCGTGATTTATCAGCGGCAGTTTCGTTCACCTGAGCTCACTGGACCGAGAGGAAGAGAACCGAAGGAATGTCAACGAGTGAGAGGGCTAAAGCCGGTCCCCCTTCTCTCATTCTCATTTCCACTGACGCATGTAGAGAGGAGGTGCTTGGAGATTCCTCTGCCCCTTGAAGATTCACCTCTCTCACTCTGAAGGAAGAGCACGTCATCGCGATAGAACTTGCGAATTGAAGGAAGGCATGTGGACGATTCTGTTGCGCCTGTTGTACTCTGTTCTGCACACCTTTTCTTTCGGGGTTCAGTGAGGTATGCTCCGCAGTACCGTGCCGTCCGGCGTGTGAGAACGACCTCTTTAACTATTGTATTCTCTTTCAATATGGGGATCGTGTTCGAATTGATATCACTGTGAGGAGAAGCAATGTGATTAGGTGCCACTGATAATTTAAGGTAAATTCATGTGCGACTATCAAAGGATTCCATCGGGGAAAATTTAATACGGCGGGTTTGGCTCGTGTTTTGTGCTGAGAGAAGTAATTTTCTTATTCTTTCGCTAATTATGTGGGGAAACTTGAGAGAACAAAACAGGATAATTCAATAAGTCAATTTTTTAACTGTTCATAAATAGTGAATTGTCTTGATAGCGAGTGGCTTTAAAACATATACTAGAATGTTTTTTTGTAGCGAATTTCCTGAATAATAATAAGAAAGATTTCTTGACATTTCCTTGTAAAGTAAATAATAATACCGTGATTTTCCCATAGTTCTATTTTACGACTCTTCAAATTTCTCGTTATGAAATTGATTTATTTGGCAGTGAAATTAATTTCTGTGAACAATTGTCGCCTTTTCATTTTTTTTTCAACTTTGAAATGGGAAATTTATTTATGAAGAAATGAACTGATCAAGGAACCAGCCTCATTATTTATTTCTCCACACAAACAAACTATTTGCAATCATTTTATAATCAAACAAACGTGACGGATAGCAACATTCCATCCCTCATCATCGAAACATTGTAACAACTTGAAATCCAATGTGAGAACGGAAAAAATAATCTCAAATTAAAGAAAACACATTAACGACATAAGCCAATAGTGAGCAGGGAGCTTCGTCATGATCGAAGACACTTGAGTGTCTTCGGGGGTAAAAAGAGGGCAGTAATGTGTGGGAAACTCTGGGGAGTAATAGTACGTAAGGTGACACTTGTGATAAAAAAACCCCAGTAATAACGAATAAATTTGTTCAACTTCTTTGTGTCTCGCTCGCAATGTGAATCGAGGTGTTAAACGATGACTTATCAGTTCCAGGAGGAAGTAATCAGGTAACCCGACGCGTCTCAGAGATAACTGCGTAAGAGGAGAAGGCATTGGTCATCGTTTCATCATGATTTCCAGGTCGATTATTGCGGCTTTGATACTGTTGGCATCGCAACTGGGTAAGTCATCAATAAGTGACAAATCGTGGATTAACGTACACGAATTTCGAGTTGGAATCAGTTTTTCGGAGATGGAACCGCTATTTCATCTTGAGAGTGGCTTCTTAACACTTGTACAATCATCCGGATTTCCCCGCCGATTATCCTACAATTATTCCCACCAACAATGGCCTGTAATGGCACTCATTGAGTAAACACCAACAGTGAGATGAATTAAGAGAATCCGAGCGTGCCTCGAATACGATTGAAATTACGAATGGGAATCCACGATCATTGACAATGTCAGTGGGTCAAGTCACGTGGGAGATTGGAAGATGTTTGATTATATCGTCATTCTCTATTGTTTAGTTTTTCTCGTCCAAAACATTTCCTGTTTTCATCCAGTCCATTCAAAATTATGTGAATTAACATTGAGAAATTAAGGGGTTTGAAAAATGTAAACATAGAGCAATCATCTGGTTTCGATTGAGTGAATTCACTTTACACCTTCTTGGATCTTGGAATTTCAACTGGGTATATTACTCATAAATCAAACCAATAGAGCAGTACTTGAAAAATACCATTGATAAATACATCGAGTCCAATTGACCGATAATTATGTAAATATCTCCATGAGGAAGAGGTTTAGGATAATTCACCTGACACTTCTCTGTAAACTTAATCCTCATTTATCAACATTTTTTCTTTAAAGAAAGCTAAACAATCATTAAATTGCGAAAAAATGATGATTCCAAATCTAATCGGGTTTTCTGAAAATTCTTTGCAGCTTTTAATAATCTTTAAATTTATCGTAAGTGTGAAGCTACTTTAATAACCCGTTGAATATTTCCGACAACCCATGAATATTCAAAGAATCCTCGAAATTCTCATAGAAGCAGTTATGATTCGTGATCTACTTTCACCTCTTCTCCAACCGATCCTTTCATACCCATAATGATACGAGAACCGGTAATGGAATGGAGGATTGGAATATTCCCAATTACAACCAAATAACAGGCTCGGTTAAATTTATCCTTAAAAATCAATAAAAATGATGGGGTTGGATATTTTGCAGGGAATGGTGTAGCACTCGGTGATAAAAAGGAATCGATTCCAGAGGGTTCGAACATATTTGTTGAGTCCACAATAAGTGGATATAAGGGAAATGTGCATAGTAGGCAGAGGAGAGTTGGCCCTGAGCCACCTGAGAACCCAATGATAGTCAAGGACACTGGAAATACGACTGAGGGTGCAGTAATGAATGGGTCGACGACCACTGCAGCAACAGCCTCTGAAGCCAAAGACATGGAGGAAACATCTGTTAAACCGAAGGATGATGATGATGATGATGATGATGATGGTAGTACTGTGAAATCTGTGGATAATTCGGGACTTAGCACTTCTGGGAAAAGTACTAAAAGACCTGACGCGAGTGGAAACCAGACAAAGGCTGCTGAAGGGGTGACGAATAAAATTATAAAGGTGACGAATAAAACCCTTGAGGTGATGACTAAAACTGAGGAGGTGAAGAATGAAACGGTAGAGGTGACTACAATTACTACCACTGCATCACCAGTAACAACAGTGGCATCTACGAGTACAACGACGGCACCTGCGACGAACGTAACAGCAAGTAAACGATATTTCGCTCTTGATTTTTTATTTTTGGGGAATCGTCTCTAATTCGTTTTTTCTAATTTGTCATTCGAATTAACCAGATTGTCCTGGGGTGAACGCCACTTTGGGTATCTCGGAAAATGACTCGAGGTGTGCACCTATGACATTTCCCTCGACACCAACAGTAACCATTGACGACACTTCCCCTGAGATGAAGGAGTTGCTGCTCAATAAGTACAACACTAGTGGCCGCGAGAATAATGCGACGAAAGTGCAAGGTAAATTCTGAATTGATTACCTCAAGGATATCTTGAATGGAGGAATTTTGAGGAAAACGTCAGGTCTTTTTTAAGCTCATGAAATGCTCAACATCACCTAAACCCGTTTCTCCTCAAAATATATGGAAACTAATTCATAAATTATAGTTCAGCCATTGTTCACTGCCATTTCTACAATTTTTTTTTCAATTTATTTTATGTGTCGTTGGAAATTTCTCATCAGTATGAAAACAATTTCGAAGATTGTTCGCGAACGACTGTCGTAAAAGCATATTTAGTAATGCAGAATAACCGTTAGAATATCTATTTCATCTCCTGTAATTTCTAATAATCTCTTTTTGTTTTATTTCTATTCAGTCGAAATTAAAACTCTGGCTCCTTCCTGGTCCTCCACTACTGAGTCCCCTCAGGAAGCGATGGAAAGTCGAGAGGAATTAGTGGAGAAAAGCCAACAAATAAGATCAGAAGCTAAAAACGAAAAAGCCGGATTGCCAGGTGGAGTGGTGGCTCTGCTAATAGCCATAGCCTTTGCTGTCATGGCTGTCATTGCGTACGTTGGATTGACCCTCAGGAAGCGATATTTAGAGTGAGTCACCCTCGATCATTCAAATGTCACTCAAATAATATTCCTAGATCTAATCATCTTTTATTGACATCGCAGGTACCGATACGGAAATCGAGAGCTCCTTGTCAACGATTTTGATACAAATGACATCAACAACTTTGAGTTGTGAAGAATTCTCTCTAGATTAGTAACTCGTGACTGTGAATAAATGTCCTGAAGTTGATCTGTGATAAGATGGACACAGGGTTTTGATATCATAATTTTTCCAACGAGAGGAGACAGACAGACAGACAGACAGACAGACAGACGTTAAGGAGAACGTCAAAACTAGGATTTAGTTTTTTTTTTATTTCTTGTATTAAAGAGATAATTATTAAATGTAGAAAATTTATAACATAGATCACTCCATTCAGTTAATTATCAAATCATCTTTTATCATGGCAAGAAAAAAGGCATAATGAAGAAAAAAATCCATATTCCATTGATATTAAAACTATGTCTACATTGAATAATTCTCTCCATTAGTGAAATTATCCGTTGGTGAGTGATTAGTGTCCGTGTAAATACTAAAATAAACAAACCACCTTTTACATGATTTTATAATGGTAACATTGAATTTATTGTTTCAGCAGTAATTCTTAGACCCTGCACACCCCTAAATTCGTATCTAATCCATTAAGAGTATTTACACGCAACAATTTACGCTCAAGTAATGTATTTAAAAGAAAACTGGGCAGGCAAGACGTGTAAAGTTGTACAAACAGCCGATAAAACTCTCATTTAAAAAAGAAAAATGAACTTAGGCGTAATAACTGCAATGATTTCATTTAGATTTTCACTATGAATCGAGTTGCCTCTGTTGATTTATCATAAATGCATTATTGGCTTACATTTACTTCTTCTTAGTAATGACGAGGGGACCTACGTTATCACAAGAGGATTCGTTGTGACGACCATGGGCACCGTCGCAGTAAGGCCACTGTAAATATGGACATTGGTATAAATATCTTGCCGCTAACACAGGAGATCTGTGTTATTACTGGGACTGCATTTATTCTGGGTGACTTGAAATATACGGAAGTGTAATTCTGTTATATAAGTCTTGAAACTTTCATGAATTCATTTTCAACTGGACTTATCAGAAAGAAAAATAATTTTATATAATTAATTTTGCACTGACGTGGTGATTATGAAATAATCTTAAAAATGGCTTTTTCCCTAAAAAATTTATCAACTGATATCATTCTTTTCCTAATCACTCACTTTCATAAAATAATGAATTGAAATATTGATTTATACATTTATGCATTCAAAACAAGGAAACAATTGTACAATCAATCCTCACGACAATTCATAGGTTAATAAACATGAGGTTTTGCTTTTTACGAGTGCAATGGAGTAACAAAAAATTGTCATTTACGTAATTTCATTGACGAAATGAAGTACGAAGAAGTGGGAAATGTCGCTCTTCGAGATGAGAAACCATGAAGAAAGATTTTTATCCCAAAATTTAACTTAAATATTATTGAAACAACTGATTAAACAAGAGCTCACATTCTCACTCCTCCAACAACGACAGAAGACAGTCTTCTCCGTGATATCCTCAACATCGACCATGTCAACAACCTTGGCAACGTCCTTCTTAATTTTGTGATTAACTTTCGCTCTTATAGCCTGCAAACCCATAAATAATCGTTACGTAACGTGAGATAATGACAGCAGAAATTCCTGAAAATCGTGCGATTCACGTTAGCATTGAATGGAGAGCTGAACAGGTGTCTAACTTACAACTTTAGTTTTGGCCTCAGGACACCAGGTGTGATAGGCCATGTACCCCATACCGGCGACCAGAGCAGTCGGTGGGATGAGAGAAACCCAATCTCGCACTGTGAATTAAATTCCTGAGTCAGTTCTAAATTTTTTTTGTGTTATTGAGCAAGTTGGGAGTAACTACTGTTCTCATTTCAATTTTCGGGGATAAATGGAGATGTCAGGGGGCAGGAACAATTCAAATGTGTTGTACAATTCACTAATTATGTTTTGACTGACCTCCAAGTTTGAGCCATCCTCCTATCGAGTCTGGAATTGGTAATCCAGATAAATAATTGGGGAGAGATACTTTAACGAGGTGCGAGATGGGCTCCATGTTTTCCTACTGTAAACTACTGCTTTGATCAATACAAATTTTGTATTTGTGTTTAGAACTTGTCAAGAGGGGACTCTGGGAGACTGGGCAAGTCAATAATAAGCACTATTTGATTTTATTGTTAATAAAAATAACAATTTGAGGCTTTTTAAGGTAAAAGAATTTCAATACTGAGTGGATAAAACAATATATTGAGACAATTCTAATTGGAAATTTCGTCTCTACATGGAAATGAATGAAAATAAATGGGAATAAATAATAATAAATGTCCACAGTAAAACTACTAATTTATCATTCCTCCATTCTCATGACTGGAATTTTTGAGAATAATAAATGCTGAATTCTCTTCAATTTGCAACATAAAATTATTTGAAAGGGAAGTTGATTTGGCAAGCGCAGTGAATCCCAGCTGGACAGCCCCTGGAGGTGGCGCCATCCCTTCGAGAACCAGTACCAGTAGCCGTGCACACGCCGGTACGGGAGGGTGCGTTTGTGTGTGTGGAGAATCCATTATATCCGCGTATTTCCCCGTGTGTGATGCCAACGGATCCAGCACATTTCGCCTCAACACTGTGGTCGTTGTCACGGAGCACCAGCAGAGGTGTTAGCAGGGTGATCCAAACAAATTGCCATAAAATTATTCCCCCTATTACCCCTCAAAAATCATTCCAACAAAACAACAAACATCTGATTATTCCATTGGCTGGAGGTGCAGTGGATCTCTGAGGTGAAGTGTCAAGGAAAAAGGGTAAAAAAAACGTTGAAAAAGTGGAGAAGAAGGGTATCCGGCGTCTGAGCCGAGTGATGGAGGCAGTGAACACAAGTGAGAGTGAGTGAGAAAGCGCCGAGGGCGCAGGAGTTGCAGTCTCTTGGACATAGGACATTCCTTGTCGTTTGCATTTCAATATCTCACCCTATTGCCCCGAGGGAACCGATAATACACGAGTGTACGTGGGGATAAACAATTGGAGTTGATCCCTGTGCGTTAACAAACGCGGGAAACAAGTGAGTGACTGCGAAGTGGAAAAATCGATCGAGAAGAAAATTGTGAATAATAATCTCCAACGTCTTTGGTGAGCATTGGCGATTCGCGGGGTGTGTTTTACCTGGCGTTGTGTCACGGGATTCTCCCCTTCAGTTATTAAACCCACGGGGATCGATGTCTGTGGTGTGAGGGAGGTGAAAACATGGCTGAGGAGCTGCTGGTCACGCTTAGCAGAAACGACACAGCGGGATTCGGATTCTCCTTGCTTGGTACTGCCGGCTTACCCCACGTCATTTATGATATTGTAGAGAATTCACCGGCAGCGGAGTCTGGCAAGGTGAGTCATTACTTTTCTGAGGAGGTTTTCATTATTCCATCAGCATTTAATGGGGATTAAATGGTTTTTTTTGCACCTTTGGAGACTGAATTACGGGCGTATCGACCCGTTCGTTATTCCGAGGGATATTTTACATGGTTTGTGGTTCCAGGGTCATTCAATGACGAAATATCAAACTAATTAATTTTTTTCATTGTTTTTTAAAAACTTTTGCTACTGTCGTTTCTGATGAAAACTTGGAAATGATTCTCTATAAATATATAAATGTCTGAAAATGTTGAGAGATTTTTTTTTAGTCCATGACATTCGCCACAGTTTTCATTACCAACCACAGCTCATTACCGAGATAATTCTGCAATTATGAGTGAGTGATGAAACGGTTCATTTCAAGTCTAACAAGTGTGTTAATTATCACGAGAATTAATAATTTCTGCTCCTAATTCCATCATTTATTTTTGGAGCAAGCAAGGATGAACGATGAATAGAAGAGAGAAAACGTGAAGAATTCACCATTACTTATTTTCGTCATTTATTTGTGAAAATTTCCAGAACATTCGGCATTTTGCATTCTGTTTTACGTCTTCGCGTTGAAGAGACATTTCCTGCGTGTCTTAAGCGTGAGTGTTGAGCTTTTCAAAGTGTATTACACATAGTAAATAGTAAAGTGGCAGTTCTTGTGACAAGTGTCTCGGAAACAAGTGGATGATAAAATAGTGCCGCCTTTGCAACGAGAGGCACCCGTGTAATTTCCACCACTTCAGTTGTTGTTGTTTTATTCTTTAATATTCGGACGGCTGCAATGTAAAAAAAATAGTTCACACGGATGGATTTAACTCCGCCGTGGGATTCGGTTGAAGGTGGGGAGTCATTGATGTTCTACTAGTGGGTCTATGTATCGTGGGGACAACGCCTTTATCTCCTCTCATGCGAAATTCATCCTCAATTCCCGAATGAAACGCTTTTTTGCTCCCACCTTTGACCCAGATAGTCATTTCAATTAATCAGACTCTCACGACGTAACAAATTCAACTATTTAATTGTGATTATCTCCGGATGTGTGGGGAAATTGATCAATGGAAATAGTAGCACTGGGTGATTCAAATGACTTTCAGTTGCGAATATTGCGAATCATTTGAATGATTTTCATTGTTGGTGAGCTCTTCATTTGATTTTAGTTTCAGTGTCTCTTCTGTTTTATTCTCCCTCGCTCTTACACTTTCTTTATAAATTATGCATGAAGAGTATGTTTTACCTTAGGGGAGTTGTACATCTCAGGGTATCAAAGTATATAAATAGAAACTCTCATCCTATTCTATTTTATTCCTCTTTATTATCCATAAAAAATAGAAACGAATAATAGTCATTTCCACTTAAATAGGATAATTGAATTAAAATGTACAGTTGTCACTTGTCAATTTCTCAATAGCCAAGGTGTTTTTTTATTCGTTCCACGAAGCAATTGACCACTGATACATTGAGGCGGACTTACAATTATTGTAATTGACTCCTTGATAAGTCGATGGGAGGGTGGATCGGTGGGTGGTAACGTCCAGGGTGGGAGTGCAACACACCCGCTACCAATCTTCTTGGAAATTAATAGTCCCTACTATCATGAGCCATTTCACGTGAATTTCCAGTGTAGAGTGTAGATGGGTTTAAACGCCGTGGCAGCGTAAACTTTATGGAGGGAATTAAAAAAAAAGAGGCGAGAAAAAATGAGACGTGAATTTAAATATAGAGAAACAGAGGGCTGCTGGGGAAAAGTGGAGCGACCTCGTATTTCTGCGACCCTTTTTTTTTTTTCATTGGATTTTTTTTTCTGTTTTTATACGAGTCGACTCCCTTTTTTTCGTCGTTGGTTTCCGCGAAACGTAAATTGCAAGGATCGGTGGAGCGCCTTTTAATTGCCGACGGGCCAGAGTCTAGTTGGCCCGGGGATTATTATGCGATCGGAATATGGTGATGAGGGTGGTGATAATGGGAAGTTGGTTCAATGGTAGAAACAATGGAGAGATTTTTCAAGTTTTTTTTTTTTGAGTGTTATCATGAATTATTCGAGGAACTATTTTGGGGATGTCTTCAAACTAGTGGATTCAGAGGGGAATGCGAGATGTTTTTTTTTCTAAGAAATGTGTAAATTATTCATTAACACCTTGTGAAGAATAAAATTTTCAGCAAAAATTGTCTGCAAACGAAACTTTACAATGTCATTTGTAAAAAATTGATGGATGATTCGAAGGTTATCTCCAACCCGCCCCATTGATCACCTCCAGTGCCCCCCTCCCGTGACTTCCTCCCATTCACAAGTAGTTACCCAAAATGTCATCCACTGTGAATAACAATGCAATTTCCAACCGCCCCATTGCATTCTCCATCTCACGAAGAGTTACAAATAATGTCAATCCACAAAATCCAATTATCCCCCGCGCTTATTTCACCCCCATTCCCATTGGTCTGTTGACCTGGCCTGCCATTGGGGTTTCCCTCAAGACCACGATGCACGTAATCCCCAACAACCGACAACATCAAAGTAATAAAACACGGAAAGTCCATTAAAAAGTGACTCGAAAATTCCGCTAGAGAGGTTTATTTTGTAAATCAAAGCTAAATCAATTTGCTCAACCCTGTAATCTCCCAATCATATTTGTTTGTTTGTCCTTTTTATCAGTAATTGACTGGTGTGCTCTGCTGGATGGAAACAAAAATTCTTCTCTCTTCCTTTTTCCCTTTTCTTCTCTCAATACTTGATTGGATCATTGGATTTTTTAAAAATATACATTAGAGAATTGAAACAATGCAATGTTTCACTTAAAAATTCAATCATCCCCTCATCGAAAACAACAGATCCAAAAATCTTTAAAATTCACGGTACAAACTAGAATAAATATCTAAAGGCACAACGATTGTAAATTTTAGACGTTAAAAATGAGCTAAAAAAATTTCAACTCATGGTGTAAATAAATCCCGGCAATTTGCTCATTTTAAACATTAAAAATTGAAAAAAAAAAATGCTATATTGTTGATTCAACGGGGCACGCTGCGACACAAAGAGGCAAATGTCTGGCTTCCGAGCATAGTAGCAAGTGTATGGGATATTGTTTGAGGGTTAATCGTCAGGCTTGACCCGGCTATTCACTTCCGGCGTCATTCTCTAACGCCTTTATCTCAAACATTGTCTGCATACTAATACAAACATCTCGGCACTGCTCAACTCAGTGGAATCCTCTTTCGGGTTTTTTAAAGAGGCAGGGATCACGATGCCAAACATCATCAAATATTTATCCTTCAGCTGACTCTGTTCTCGTGTGATTAAAACTTAAATTCCACTTGGTTTAAATGTTCCGTGCATAATGGAAAAAGGGGAAAATTGTTGATGAAGTTTGTTGCAAATATCTGCAGAGTTGAGGGGAGTGGAGAAGGGGATCGTTAAAAAGTGGAGGAAGTTTATAGCGGATAACTGGGAAACCTTTTCACGGGATTAGTTCGCTCAGACATTTTTTTTTAGGAGATGGAGAGACAAAAATTTGGGGAATTTTTCTCCGGCTGCTGATGCACTTAGCGTTATTGTCAATTATACGAGTGCAATATCAATCTTTTACTTTAGATGAAAAATGAAAATTCAGTGCATTAGTGATTGAATATCAACATCAAATGAATTAATTGGAATTCCGTTTCAACATTTGAATGAGTGAAAAGAAAAAGACAAAGTCCTTTTTCCATTTGACACCGGGAAGAAAGCTATTTGAATAAATAAATAAACAGATCGGAAGCGAGTGAAAACTAGGTGGGTTTTCTTACCTGGCAACTGTGTGCACCGTCCTACGCGTTCCGCATACGCGATATGTTTGCCATTGACGAATGGAGGCGGAGGTTGAAGTGCTTTTCCGTTTCCGGGTGGTTCGGCAAAGATATGGAAAGGCGCCTCGCTTGACAAATCTCTCAGACGTAATATCGGAGGGGGAGGACTAGAGACAGGGCTACAACAGCAAAACAAAATGTTTCACTACTTTTCCCTATCTTTCCGTATCGATCTCCACTTGTATAGAACATTTCACCGTCGATATTACGAGCGATCGACTGGAATTTACAGTTGTATCGTAAAATGCGCAAGTAGCTCAGTGTCGTGAATATTTTCTCGAAAAGCACGAAAAGTTTTTAACAGAAAAAATAGTCTGCTGACATTTTCTCGAAAAATCACTCGTTATCAAGATAATTTCATGTTCAACAAGATGGGAAATTCCAGTTGTTGGGCCACGTTTCACCACTTCAAGCCTGAATTTATGTTTAATTACTTTGGTTTCAGCAGAAACGAAGATTATTAAAAGTAATTTTGCCCATTTTATCGTGCAATCTCCCCTGAAAATCGTGTGGAAGACAGTGGAATATACGAACAAGTCTGAAGGGGGTTGGAAATTTACGAGAGCACTTTGCAGGTAATTCGGGTCTTTATGCGGAGAATTCAGGGTATTCACCACGCTATTTTCGTCCTTAAAACTTTTCCCCTGTCATTGAGAGAGCCCAAGTGGCTCCAAACTTTTGCATCAGTAGGTGATAATAAACCAAAAGGCCTGCCTTTCCCTGTTGCAGGAGAAAAAAATCAATGGGAAAACTGTTACACAAACTTTTTCCTCATTTTGGATGAAACCGAAAAGGACAATTATCCCGGAATAACAAGGAAAAACAAGTGGATTGTGTTACCCACTGCGAAGAGGTGAAACACGTGTCATGGGAAATGCAAGAGCCAGCGCTTGATTGTGCGTAGACACTCAGAGACCCAGACATCGATCCTATAGGCTTCAGCCCTCCCGAGAGGGAAATAGAGAGCGCCCCCCAATCTCGTATTGGGCTCGTAATCCGTTCACGTAACTTGTATTTTCACTCGAGAGTACCTTGTTTGGGTGTCCTTACCACTTCTCACTTGTTTTTCTCTCGTTCGTCGTGACAATCATAGACTGAGGGAATTTTTAGGAAATTCTAGAGGGATAAAAAAAAATACTACA